ACATAAAATGGTGTCCAATGCTTATTTTTGTATTTTTAAACTTTTTTGTGTTTGGAATCAACATGCACAGTTTGCACAAAGAATTACATTATGTACAGATATTTAGCTTTTCATATTTGCTGAAAATACTGTATATTTAATTAGTTTCATTATATTATTGTACCACCCAAGTCATAGGCATCCTTGAGGGTCATCTGTTGATTTTGTGAAAAACGATGTTGTAAAAAAACGTCATGACAAGAGCAATGAAATATTCAGATTCACACCCTGAATCCTAAAAATCATTATAAACAGTTGTGTTCTGTCTCAGTTTTTATTAGTTTTATCCCGTCCACACGTTCTAACAAAATCGCGAACAATATCAGTATACACCACTAGGTGACGAGAATGTCCATACAGATGCCAAATCATAATACAGAAAAAGAACATGCTTAGCTCAGCAAAATATTCACCCAAAATGTATACACGTCTGTACTAATTACAGTCTCTTCTTTATTATTAACTATTTCAGTACGCTGTCAAAGTTTGAAAACGACAAGATCAGGATAAAGACAAGGACACATCAGTGAAATATATCAGTGTTTCATCATAGGACAAAGTTACTGGCAATGCAATGACTCGTAACTGAAAAATAATCTTTTTTAGACTTGTTTCTCACCAAAAACTCTGTGCATGAAAGAGAGGCGCAAACGCAGCAGAATATAAATATCTGGAGTACTGTAAATGGAGCCTCAGTTCCTGAAATAAACTCACTATAATGACAAAAACAACAATCAGTTGTTTTTACGTGATGCAGTTTAGTTCCGATAAAAGATTATGTTTTAGAAGGTGTTCCTTTAAGACGTTTGAGGTTATTTCCTGGAAATATTTTCAAAATATAAAAACAGTCTAAAGGTGAGTGCAAATTGGAGACATAACTACAACAAAGCACTCCAATTTGAGCCGAGGTGTTATTGTAAAAGGATGGGAGGTTCCTGCAGTAGAACCAACCAAAATGGGGACACTGGGCTACTCAGAAGGAGGTGGGGGGGGCAACTCCCCCTGGCTTTTGTTTATCCAGAAAACATTAATATGTGAGTGTAAACAACACTGAAGTGACCCCATTTATGGGCACTTTAGGAGAACAAGCATTGTGGATTATAAAGGTCAGGCCCACATAAAACCTGTAAAACAGCCTGATCATAAACATCGAGGCGATTAAACCATGCTGTAAGACCGCCCACCCCAACATGCGCTTCTGTCAAATTACATCGCTGTTATCACAGGAAACACATGTTATAAATGTTATCAGACAGTCATTAAAAATAAGCCTCATTCATAAATAAATAAACTCGAGATTTGCATAAATTTGCTCTTTTCGCCTGTCCAAGAAACGATTATGTTACATGTGAAGAAGGTCTCATTGATAGGCTGAGTTGTATTCCCAAGACTTTTTAAATTGATCCACCCGGTTGGGAGGTTGAAGGGGTGGGGAGGGGATTGTGTAGCAGAGTCTCAGTGAAACTCATTCAAAGATAAAGAGAAACTGAAAGATTAAACAGTAGAGAAAAGGAACATTGATCTCCAGCTGCACCCAAAGGGAACTTGTATCCCGATGGATCAATGGAGATCCATACCCCTAGTCTTGCTTCCCATGATTACTCCTCTGGCCTCCTCCCCTCTTCTTGGCTCTGCTCACCGGACCGTGCAGTATTGTCCTTCTGACCATGTGCTGCTCTCCCACGATAAATTAGACTGGGCACCACCCAAACCAGCAGAAGGAGGAAGCCTTGGATTGCACTGCCCTCTCTGTAGAGCTTCTGGACTTAAGTGTATATTATCCACTTCTAGGCTACTTTAGCACAAATCCCCTGCATTAACACTAAAACACTAAGGAGCAGTTGCACCATCTACTTTCTTCTGTTTGTGCTTTTCCACTTAGATAATAAAAACACAGCTCTGCTGTATTGCAAATACATTTTCTCAGAAGCACACACACACAAACCCTCTCCGGACTGTGATAAATGAGTCCAATAGTAGCACACGACCGTTGAGGAGTCCCAGCTGCCTCCACTCATTCTGGAGAAAGAACAGGCTCCACATCTCACACCTTCAACACCCATTTGGGGGTCAAAAGACATTCCCTTCAGGGACTGCAGTAAATATATTACCACATTATGTTTTAAAACATGGCTTCGACCACGTGCTAAGAAAAGGCTCGGAAATAAACTTCTGCTTTAAACCAATTCTGCCCTCGTTTGTGGGAAAACTATAAAGCAGTCAAGAAAAGTCAAGTATAGATTCACTGCAGATCAGTTGAGCAACAAATCACTAAAACACTGAGGATGCTCGTCTGCTGTCCTTCACTTTGTTGTGCACACATTTACATATTATCACATTATCGCATCAAGAAAGCGAGGGTGTTTGAGGATGGGACATTCAGCTGGGAATCCCCAGGACCAAGAAGAAATGATGGACCGTACCTGTTTGCCAGATGTATAACGGTTTAGTTTCTGCTGCAGTTTGGGCATCAAGTGCCCACATGGAGAAAAAGAGCAGCGCTAACCTCCAAATAAAGGGGAACGGTGGTCGTTTCAAAAGCCCCACCATGAACACGGCTCGGCCAGGCATCCCCATAGTCCCCCCGCTTCTTCCCAATGCAGTCAGGAGGAAAATGCAAGCCTGGCCAAGACAGTGGAGAACTCAAGTGTCGTTTCTCCTTTGTCCACAACAATAGTGGGTCCAAGTGGAAATAATCCCGGGCAAACAAAGCTGAGCTCTGCTAATGTTTTCACCTTTCCTTTTAGCTTTCTCTAGCCTGGCGTCTTAATGGGAAAGAATGAGCTCAAGCATCAACAAAACAGGGAACAATGGATCGCAAAGCCCAGCCTGCTGCTGCTGCATGCCGGTTAGATGCAGAGCCTCCCTCTTTCTGTGTGTGTGTCGCTCTCTCTCTTACACACAGACACATGCCCACATGCTCACCCTCTCATCCCTCCCTCCTCCCACACTCCCTCCCTTTCTGCCTTGTCTCTCATGCCCTTTGAAAAGACCCAGTGAAGCTGTGCAGCACGCTGATTGAAGTGGAAGTTGGAAATGTTTGATTTGTCCATTAAAATAAAAACCACCAGGCAGAATGTGCTGGCAGTTTTTGGTATTTTAAAATATGTATCACAAAACACACACACCGTAACTCATACAGTATTTCAGATTTAGCTATTTGCATTCTCTTTAAGAAGTATTCACCCTTTTTGATGTTTTTAGGCTTTTATTGCTGTCATATATCAATCATGGTCAATATAAATGTAATACCAATTAAATAATGTAATTTTAAAAAAGTGACTGCATACATTTTAACTCATTAAAGTTGTTTTTTCAGCTGCTTCTTTCTTCCAGGACTGCTACAGCAAACAAACCTGGATGAAAGGTTTGGTAAATGTTTCATGCTGGATACCACTCCTGACAGCTCAAACCTGCAGCCTCAGGATTTCAACACTGCAGCACTGACCATGGAGCTCCCCAGACCCCTTTCAACACTGTAAAATGACAGCCCTACTTCATCCCAAATAAACCATTAAAAATACATAGCAGGAGATGGATACAAAAGGATTTTTTAAAGGGGCGAAGCTATGTGCTTTCCAAACCTGTATTTCAATTTTATACTAAAATAAAGTAACTATGTCACATTTTCAGCTTATGAAAGCGCTATATATTTGTAAAAATCCCGAAAACAATTTATTTCTCATCTTGACAGTTTCTAAATGCCTTGAAATAGGTCTCTGTCTCTTTAAGAAAATCCAATCACTTTGGTCACACCCATTTAAGCTGGTAGCCTGCCGGAATCGCGCAGCGGGTGGTGGTGGTGGTGGGGGG